GTCATGGCTAACAGCATTATTCTCATCTAGCACACTATCATGCACTGTACAAACTACTTTGTAGTCACAGGTGGATTTTTTTTTAACATGGCTAAGGAGATAACTATATTGCAGCCCAGTAGTTAAAATACTTGTACCAGAAGCAAGACTTTTAAGGTAAATTCCTCCCTGCTTTCCAAGATTTAACTTCATCCCCATGACAGACTGAGGGTACTCTAAACCCCTCAGCACTGAAGCAGCAACAATGCACAGCAAATGTTATAACTGGGCAGCTGAGTGCTCAACTGTTTTGACATTGAGCCAGCAGGAGAGAAGAGTTATTTCACAGATCAAAGTTCTTTAAGTTCCTGTTAAAAGCAATAAAGTTGACTCCACTAACTAGCCTAGAAGACATCTAACAGAAACTGTTTGCATGCTATCCCACGAGTACGGCTGGCTTTTTACAATATACAGGGAAGGTATACTGGAGATAAGGAGACTGCAGAGAAATACCTTAAACAGACCAGCACAGGCACAGGAACACCTGGCATAAACACAGAGTTTTCACTGATGTCTATTTTTATTTCAAGTAAATCTAAGAATGGAGTACAGACCAGAAGAATATATACACCCTAAGTCACAATCAAACTGCATCTTTCTAATTCACTACATATAAGCAATGCTAATAATTTCCTAATATCCAAACTAAGTTTTCCTTGCTGTAAACTGAGATGACAATTCCTCCTTAGTGAAAGTAAATTACTTACTGCTCTTACTTATGATAGCTTTTTACGCACTGGAAGATTCAGGGATATCCGCTGTCCTAATTGGAACGGAGAGCTCTTCAGCATCATGGCTGTATGCTGTCATTTATGACACTTAAAATCCATACACCTGGAAAGCTTCTGTTTTCCCCTACACTGCCTGTTCATTTTTAGACATATGCAAACTCTTTTTCTTCAGATGTTTTCCTCAAACACCACATTTCCTGAGCCTACTAAAATTGCCATTCCTCTTTCCAAATTGCCCACAACACTAAATGGAACATCCAAAACTGGACATAGTATTCCAACTAAGACCCCTATGAGCACCCTTTGGAGAAGGGAATTGTCTTTGTACCCCTACTACCATTAGAGCCTCCAATATAATTGATAATGATTGAGACAAAGTCTTATTAAGAAGCAACATAGTGATCCACAAGATGTGGGACAAATAACCTAACCAATTTAGATTTTTCTGTGACTTGCAAAAGAATTCACACTTATTCTTAGAACCTTGTTTTCAACAAACAGACCCTCATAAGAATAACAGAAATACCCACCACTTAATTTTACACATATTTCTGTAACATTTAGCTGTATCTTTTTTCTCCTTCCTAGGGTATTTAAGCTCATAATACCCTTCACAGGTATGCATACTATGTCTCTTTCACCAATTAGAAGTTAAGACCAGGGACTCAGAAGCCAAATCAAAACGGACTACTTTATACATCCCATCTATTGCATTCCACAGAAGCAGGTACCTGGCCTTCGCAAAATGACTCAGACTCCCTAAGAAAGATCTACATAGACACAAGAGAGCGTATAGGAGAGCATCCAGTCAGTCATTGAGCTTTTTCTATTCATACAGTCACTACAGAGTATGAAGAACCACTGGAGAGTGAGTTGAGGCACTCAAACCAAGGTAGTCAGGTCACTCTTCAGCATATGGAGCTTTGGTGCCAAGTAAGTTCAAGTTAAGGATCCCAAACATTAGCACAGCAGTCATTAACAACCAGGCAATAGAAATACAAGGGTCTGCCTGAATTCCTACATCTCTGTAGCACAGTTTGTCCCAGGACTGAATATTAGCGGCTCCGACAACATGGGATCAAAATGTAAAATGATCTAGGACTAGATGAGAAAAATCTCTTATACTACAAATATGAAAAATATTTTTATAAAAACAAAGAAGTCATTGTAATGCATAGTATCCTCTTATTTTCCTATAACCGGCTTGAGTCAGATAATGTCTCAAATCTTATGACACCATCTGGTGGCAGAGTCCACAGAAGATGATTAACAGATGTTTAAAAATTTGATTCTGATGAAATTTAAATTTGATTCCCGATGTCTTATGAATTTTGTCTTTATGAGATAAAGTGGAAAAATTCAATGGAAAAATACCTTAATTTTACGTAGATGAGGTTCTCTACAAGTCTTAGTATCTCTTACACAATTTTAATACGTATTTATAGGACAGTGATTGCTGTTATTCTTTGTACTGGATATCACAGTCCTGCATAAATTAGATGCATTTAGCTGACATCTCTTCAAATGTGTGACATTTTTGGACATATAGACTAGAAGTTACCCAAAGTTTGGTCACAGCGACCAAATTGACTCAGTGTGTTTGCTTGTTCCAAATTGAAAACGCTAGAATACAGCACCTATTTAACAAATTTTACCTACAAAAATCAGTGGAACGTACGTGGTGGTGCAAATGCGGTTGCCTTGTACTGCCAGTTCAGTTGAACTCAAGCAAGTACTTAAAAAAAAAAAAAAGTAATACAGTTGCCTTTAATAGAAAGGACTTCAGAATAGGAATCTATTTTCCAAGGTAAGAAGTTACAAAGCCACATTGCACTGGCCCTTAGAACCTACAATATTCATTCCAAATATTGCAGTGCTAATGGGGAGATACTTTCAAACTTCAGCAAAACTATTAACAAAATTTTTGGAAGGCTTAAGTGGTTTTTTTTAGGCTAGGATCTATCAGTTCAGCAAAACAGTCAATTACTTTAACACAGTAATTGAGGTTAACTGTAAGAAATAGCAAATAACAAAAGAACAGAAATAACCAGCAGAGATATAGGAAAAGCAGCCCCAGGAACTCATGCTGAAAACAAAGTCCATCAAACCTCAATCCTCTTCTCTCTCAGGTCACACCTCAGAACTCACCTGTTCTACAAAGCTCTTTAAAGCTGCACTTCAGAAGGTAAAAAGGAAAATTTCCTCCTTGTATGAGACTATTGTTATCAAACCACTATCACTAAAATATATTGAAGTATAAACTTTAATCATCAATGCCATTTCTATCCAATGTTCATGAACTTTTCCAAGTTAAAGTTCATAAGCACCCCTGAACAGTTCTTAATATGTTTGCACATGAACTACGCTGCTTGCAGCGATGAACGATTACTTTTAAATACCTCACGTTTCATTGTACTATTAAGACACGTTTCACACTATCAGTCCCACTCCCTTCAGGTTACCAGACATTTATCATCACATTCATAGCTGCTTTCACTACGACACAGTTTTTTAGCTGTATGTTATGAGGAAGTTAACTAAGCAACCCTGTATCCAAAGCCACACTTCAACCCTGGAAAGGCTTCCAGCAGGTATGAAGAGACAGCACGACAGCTACACATCTGCAACAGAGAACCTGCTCTAACAAAGCTTGTATTTAACAGCACAACAAAGTTCAGGGATCACCGCAGCAATAAGGGATGCTCACAACGCAAAGCAACACGTATGCCCGCCCCAAGGCAAGGTGCCCGCTGCAGCCCCTCCAGGCCGGGCCAGGCCTGCCCCGCTCCCCTCCCTAGGCCGCCCCCTCCGTCAGAGCCAGAACCGGAGCCGGAGCCACCCCCCATCACCCCCGCTGCCGCCACAGAGCTCCCACAGCCCTCTGCTCCCCCTAACCCCGGTACTCACACATCACACCCCTCACCAGCCCAGCGGCCCGGAAACCCATCCCCCTGCCGGGACCGACCAGGCCCGGCCGCCGCCTGCCCCGGGGCCCGCCGCCCTCACAGCACCAGCGCCGGGCCGACCCCACAGAGACCCGCGGCGCACGGCGGGGCGGGGCAACCGCCCGGCACAGCCAATGCGCCGGCAGGAAGGCGGCCGCGCTGCGCGCCGGAAGGTGCGCCTGCGCCTCCGCGGTGCCTGCCGGGAAACGTAGTCCTCGCGGCCGGACACCTGGGCAGGGGCGAAATTCATCGCGAGGGCAGCGGCGCTTGCTGGCAGTTGGGGGCATTTACCTGCGGATAACGATAATAAACGTTATTATTGCCCGTAAACGTAGCGCCACGTGCTACTGCTCTAAAAAGCGGGCGCCGACGACCGCGGGTGCCCCAGCAGCCAGAAGCCGCCGACATTGTGCTGGGACAGCCCTGCCACGTCTGGGAAACCTGCCCCGAGAGCACTCTGAAAGACAGAAGGACAAGAGCTTGTGCTGCTTGTGCCCAGGCCGGGCAGCCTGCCATACGCTCTAGCCCAATGCGACTTTTTAAGAAGCCAAACCCCGCCAGGGCTCTGAGCATCCTGAGCGGGAGAGAAGGGAAACCAAGGCCCCGTTCTGGGATCACAGCGGTTTCACTGGAAGAGGGGCCTTGTACAGCCTCGAAGAGCCGCCTAAGCTGCTGCGGGCCTCCGTACTGTGAACGCTCCGAGCGGCACTCCCAGTTAGCAGCCTCACGGCAGGCACGGGATCCTAACGGCAGGCTGAGCAGGGAAGAACTTATCCAAACCCAAGAAGGAACATGTCTCAGGAAAGGCTACCCAGCTCAGCTACGAAAGATGAGGTCCGTGATTCCAAACGGCGGCTTTCCCTTTCTGCCCTCGTTCTCTTCTCTGGTGACGGAAAAAGGGCTGGCACGCTTCCTCCCGATAGAGAGTAACTTAGCCAGAGAAAAACCCCGCTGACATAAATAGGGTTATTTCTGTACTGTGCCATTTGTTGACGTAGTTACAGTCAGCGAGGCCCGACGGCACGGCCAGCGCGCTAGCACGGCAGGCAGCGCACCGCCGAGAAAAAGAGCGGGACGCCGACGCATGCGCACAAGCCGCCGCGTCGCGCCATGTTGGGTGTACACGGGCCGCACGCGGCGGCCGACGTCCAGCCCGGCGTTCCCGCCGCCCTGCCTGTGGCGTGGCGAGGGCGGGTCCGCTTTTTGCCGCCATGTTGGGAGTGGCGCGCAGCCCCCGCCTCCGCTGGGTGGTGCCGGTTCCCGCTTCCGGGGGACGGGCAGTGACGGGCTCGCAGGTCGGCGGTCGGCACCGGGGGCGGGCGGGACATGGGCTCTTAAAGGGGCGGCTCAGCACGGCGTGGCTCGGCTCGGCTCGGTTCGAGGGTGGCGGCTGTGGGCCGTGAGGTGAGTGGTGGTGCCGGTAAGTGTACGGCGGTTCGGGCTTGCCCGGGCGGGGCAGCCGGCTGGCGGATCCGGTCTGTGGCCGCCTCCCTGCCGCGTAGCGCCCCGTGCGGGGCGGGCTCGGGGGCCGGTGGGGGCCTCCGCGGGACGGGACGGGACGGTCCCGGCCGTGCTGGCCCACGGGTGCCGCCCTGCCTCGGCTGCCGGGCCCGCGAGTCAGTGCAGGGTAACGGGGCGACCGGGACGCGGCCTGGTGGGGGTCCGGGAGCGCGCCCCAAGCCCCCGCCTCGGCGTCCCCTCGGTGCCGGGAGGTCTCGCCCGGCCCTCCCCTGCGAGGGGGGTCAGCGCCGTTTCCAGGTATGTTTTTTTACTGGCTTGGTGAGAGCCCTCGAGTTGAGCTGTTAGTGGGGTCCGGGACGAAACCCGCCTCTTGCTACGCCTTCGTCAGCTGCGTTATGCCCAGCCGCCTTTGGACTAGTCGGTGAGATGCTGTTGTGGTACGTGGTAAACAATAAGCATTAGAAGTAACCTGTGCGTTTGTCCTTCTCTTAACTTGATGCCCTTGGCCCTTCTGTGAAGCTAATGAAGTCAGCTTTGTTTCTCACTTTTTCTTTCACCTTTTTTCACTTTTACTTCTGCTTCATAAAATGGAGGTTATCAAAACAACACGCATGATTTGTCAACCTAAACAAATGAGCTTAAGAAACTTGGGAAATTTTTTTATGCAACTTCTCTAGCTACCTTCCCCTTTTTCACTCTCTTAAAAAGGGCAGTAGGTGATCAGTGTTCAGAACTAAGCAGCTGGGTGTTACTTTAATTCTTCATAAACAAAGCTGTTTCTGTGCTGTAGAGAGAACAGCTATGTAGGAAGGTGTTTAGGGACAAAGCAAAAGCCTCCTATGATGTCAGTTGCTTGATTCATTGACTTGAGCAATTAATTGCTTACTGTCGGTCTAGTAACCAAGCTATATGCCTGACCTCCCCTGCTCTGCAGTTTTTGAAGTAGCTTATTATGTAGCACAGTTCGTGTCATTAAGAAGAAATGGAATCTGTCGCTGTCTGTATGTGGATCTAGGGTTGATTGTTAATTTGTGTTGGCCAGTAACTAATTTGGAGGAGGCATCACGAGGCTTTTCCAGGGACAAAAATGAATTGTTGAGATGAATATAGGACTAAACACACTGCACAGAGGAGGTGGCATTACTAGCGCCTATTCTCTGCACTATCGCCTCTGTGCAGTGTGTTCAGGAAGCTGATAAGAGAAAGCAGGAAGCATGCAGACTAGTGTCTTGTTCTTGGGCCCTGGCCTCTTTCCCCAGGGTCACAGATGCTTTATTCATTTATCTTGTAGGCATATCATATGGAGGAGTACATTCTGATGCTGATACCTTGTACCACCCAGCATTAGCTGGGCTGAATTTCAGCTGACTAACAAGTAGGGTAACTGTTTGTGTTAAGGAAGGGTTTTAACAAAACATCTCCTTCTACATTAGTGATATGAAGAATTTGAAAGAACAGCAAAAAAAGAAACCCTCAGTACAAAGCCATCTAATTTATAGACTCTCTAATTTTTTATCTTTGCAGGAATGCACAGAAATTTCATAACTAATGTTCACATTTTTCTAAGAATATTGTTTCATGATTTTTTTTGTCTTTTGGGGAAGGCGACAACTTGCTTTACAAGATAAGAAACTGAGGGAGCATCTGTGATCACCTGAGGCTGTACCAATTTGCTGATGGCTTAAAACATAGCTCATGAGATACTGGCTTTCAGTCAGTTGCTGCAACAGCAGGGTTGTGTCATCTCCTGGTTCCTACCTTTGTGGTAAAATTAGCCAAAAGGGGGCATAAACTGCATTTCTCAACCATACTTTTGGATGTATTGGTTAGTAGCTATTATTTGAAATTTCTTCCCTGGTATGTATATGAAATGTCCAAGGAACGAACTAGTGAACTGGGAATTGTAGGATTTTAAGGTTTAATACTTTGGTATTCTTACTAGTGGATTATGTTAAAAGGATAAAGTAGAAGTATTACTTTTTGATTTATCTGATATGAAGAGGTAGTCAAATGTAGTTATTTGGAAACAGAAAGGGTGGGATTCTTTCTTATCATTATTTTATAAAAATGAGTAACTTGGACGTATATGTATGAAAGTTTTCCACTCAACTCAGCAATGTTTAATTCCTGACTGCCAGAACCTTTCACTAGCTGTTGAAGAGGAAAACAACATGAAGATATAAGCATGGAGTCTTGCTGGAACACTTTGTAGGACTTATGTGGTTTTCATTCACAGCTTAGAAATAGCTCTTCTGAGAGAGAGGAAAAAAAATTATTCTAGAAGGCAAACTTAATAAAAACTTTATGGTTTTGGCATTAAAGAGAGAATCTTACACCAACTGTCAGCTCTCACAGCTATTGTCTTCCATGGCCAAAAGTATTATGCTTGTTTCTTCTTCTCTCACTTTACTTCCTACTGTCCTGGTTTCAGCTGAGATAGAGTTAGTTGTCTTCCAAGTAGCTGGTATAGTGCTATGGTTCTGAGTTGGGTATGAGAAGAATGTTGATAACACACTGATGTTTTTGGTTGTTCCTAAGTAACGTTTAGTCTAAAGTCAAGGATTTTTCAGCTTCTCACGCCCAGCCAGCAAGAAGGCTGGAGGGGCACAAGAAGTTGGGAGGGGACGCAGCCAGGGCAGCTGACCCAAACTGGCCAAAGGGGTATTCCATACCGTGTGACGTCATGTCTAGTATATAAACTGCGGGGAGTGGGGCTGGGGGGATCACTGCTTGGGAACTAACTGGGTGTTGGTTGGTGGGTGGTGAGCAATTGCACTGTGCATCACTTGTTTATTCCAATCCTTTTATTATTGCTGTTGTCATTTTATTAGTGTTTTCATTATTAGTTTCTTCTTTTCTCTTCTATTAAACCATTCTTATCTCAACCCACGAGTTCTACTTCTTTTCCCGATTCTCTTGCCCATCCCACTGGGTGTGGTGGGGGGAAGCGAGTGAGCGGCTGCATGGTGCTTAGTTGCTGGTTGGGGTTAAACCACAACACCTACTCAAAATTGTGGACCCCTAACTTATTCTCCATTTAGGGAGCCAGGCACCAAGGCACAGCCTGGTGTCTGTTATTGATGTTATCAAAATATCCTTAACAGGAAAAAAAGGAAATGTTTGTGCTTAACTTCTAGTTTGGAGTTATCAGTGAAGGAGGAAGAAAAGTTTGTGATCTTGATTAGAAGCATAACTTGGTAGAGAAGGGGCTAGGCTCAAATAGAGTACCCCCAGATGGTAAGGAATTAATTTATGATATTTAGCAAATGTGATCGATGTATGATAAATTTCTGGAAGGCATTCAGTTTGTCAGAGGCACAAAACTGCTGCATGTCAGCCAGAGATGCTGGACAAAAATCTTATGATCATTCAAGGTGGGTTTGTGAAAGTGCAAGCAATCAGAACAATTTATTGGTCTGGTGCAAATAGACCTGTCTGGCTTAAGAAAACTTGTCACTTTTGACAGCGTCTCACTGCCTACAGTCCTTTCCAGATGTCGGCTGTGTAATTGCAGCTGAGCAAGCACTTTATTAGGCCTTGTGGTACCCTGTAGTTGGTTTAAATCACAAAGATTGGTAAGACAAAAAATTCTTATGCATTTTGAGTGCTTTGGGTAGCACAGCCTCAATATGCCAAGACTGTTGTAAAACAAGGAAGTAAATTTTCTTCTTTTCTAGAGCTAATAAGCCTTAGAATTGCTTCTCAGCTAGTGCTGAAGAAAAGCATATTCAAACAGCATGTAAATTGCCTACTAGAGCTTTCACTACCTTGGAAGTGTCTTATAAGCCTCAGAAGATTATTGGGATTGGAAACCTCTTGAAAAGACTGTGCATTACACTCACTGTTGTAATGGCTTTTGAAACTTGTTTACATTGGAAACTGAATGTTGGCATAAATAGCTGGCATCCAGTTTACAAGTAATTCTGAATGAAAAAGAAAACACTTGTAAGAAAAACCCTTAGTGGTGCAGAGGAGTATGTTAGACCAATGACAGAGACAAGAAAGAAAGATTTCATGTTAATTTTTTACTGTGTGCTCTGGGAAGATGGGTGGCAAAGATGACTAAGTTTTTGCTGGCTGCATAAAACAGTACTTTGACCTTGGGGCTCTGTCAATTCAAATATTGGGTTTGTGGCTTGTGGTTTTTTTCCCCAAATTTTCTAATGTGCCTATTCTCATGGAATCCCAGCCAGAGAGCTGCTTTTGGATAAAATTATATTGTCTTAGCTTTCTGATCACAAGCAGATATTTTAAACTGGAGGCTTACACATGCAGACATCAGGTCACTGTGGGTATTACTAACACTAGATTTGCTTCTGTTGCTCTCAGTCTTATGAAAGTTACGACTTGGCAGGTGTTAGCTCCCAATTCAGTAGCTGGGGTTGGGGCAGAACTCTGCTTAAGTATTTGTGACTGATCCATCTGAAATGTGGTAATGTGAGCAGCACTTTCCCCAAATGAAAGTTTGCTCTGTACTCTCATGGGATCACCCTACTGCTAACATAGACATAGCCATAGCTCACATCAATCTGTATCACCTTCCAGTTTTTTCAGGTTAGAAAAAGAACCTACTAAAATGCTCCAGCTGCTGTATGGGTGTGTTGATTAACCAAATTAAGATCTCTAAGCCAATGATGCTTTCAATGGGTCTGGCACCATGCTAAAGTCAGCCCAAAAGTGTGTGTCATATCCCTCATTCTTTTGCAGGAAATACCCTGAGGTTTTAAACAGTTCTGTAAAATCACCTTTGCTGTGTCTTTTCCTCAGTCTTCTCCAGCCTAACAACTTCACATAGGAGAGTGAATTGAAGATTTCTCAGGGTTTTTGGAGCCATGAGTAAATGCACAGTAAATGGAAAAAATGTCTGTACAGACATAAATTTATTTCCCTTACTTTATTGTTCCCTTTTTCCAAGGGATAGAAGTAACTTAAGCCTAATCCATCCTCAACTGGCTTGGACTGTAATATCCTAACTTTAATATGCATTATAATAGTGAGCTTATAGGATGTCTTAGCACAATATGAGTAGTCTTGTGAAGAGATAACATCTTATCTAAAGCTTGTGTTTGGAATTGGAATTTCAAAGAACTTTTTCTGCCCCCACCGTTTCCAAAACAAAACATGGCAGAAAAGACAGATTCTTATGGTTTGCAGGCCCTGCATTTATTTCCTTGCTGCTCTTGTTTCTTGATGAATCTTCCTTTTTATAAGACTGTGCTAGTTAATATGATGAATGTGTTGTAGTCTTCTAAGTTTCATGGTAGGAAAGTTTCATGAGGCCCATTGCTTCAAGAAAATGTGGGTTTTGTAGCAAGCTTAGTTCTGCATACTCTGCAGCTGTCAGGTTTTCCTATGCAAGGGGTAGAGGCGGAGTTGCACTGAAATGTGTTTAATACTTGCAGTTTGGTAATGGAGTAAGTACTGCAGAGTACTCTGCTTTAAATACAGCTGACATTATGTCCTCCTTTAAAGGAGTTCTACTTTGTATTTAGGCACATTAGTTTCTTGTTTAAAACTGACCACTCTTGAGGGAAAATAAACTAAAATAGCAGAATGTTGTTGTAATATAATTACGAAGTCTCGTTGTAGGCTGTCTTCTTTTTTCCTTTGGTTACTTTGTGGCTAGGATTTTAAAAATGGTAGGAGAGGGAAAGCAAAGAAAAAAGGCACTGAGCATTGATATTAAAATAAATGCTTACCTTAGCAAGTCTTACATTATATTAAAATACATGCCAGGAACACTTTAGTCATGTCAGGTATTTTCTCCCTGAATATTTTGTCTTTATTAAGGAATCTTAATGTCTTGGATATAAAATCATTTTGTCATATACCATTAACTTAAGAGCTGGATGCCTCAGTGGGTGCTTTATGATTCCTAGGCAGAAAGATGGGGGAATGAATATCCTTTCTTTATGTATGTATACTGTGTTCTGTTGGAATAGCCAAGCTATTATTTCAATACAAATAGCCTCATCTTGGGTGTTGTAACTTCTTTAGATATACCTTGCAATAAAGTCACCTACTATGTTCCAGCTATTCCAATTAGGCAGCTATCAAGCATATATCTCCATCTTTGGAAACAGGCTTTTTTGGAAATATTTGGTTTCTTCTCAATTACTCCTGTGTGCTTTTTTGGATGTTAAACTGCTGTGTAGTGAGAAGTCTTTTTGTTACTGCCTAGGGAATGTCTCTTTCTATTCTGCCTCATGGCACTAACTTCTTCTGCAGAGCTATTGTGCAGGTTGTGTGTGTGTGTTTACAAAAGCAATGCTGGCCAACTCAGTTGTATAAACTAATGGGAATAAAACTACGGCTTTTTGGAGTCTAATGTATCAGTTTGGGATATTCAACTTTAAACAGACATTATAGTCAAACCAATTCAAAAAGCATGCTTTCTTAAACCTGTTAAGAGGGAAATGCAATCTTGTTTTACATAGCTCTAATGGCAATGGCTGAAAAGTGAAGGTGGGTAAGCTTGCTGGGAAGTCTAGAGAAAGAAAGGTTCTGTCACTGTTTTCAGTGATGTAAGACCTCAAGAAATCATCAGAAAAGACCAGCAAAGTAGCTGTACCCTATTATCCTTGATAAGATTGTCAGAACACTGTCCTTTAACCAAGTGTTTTGAGTGGTTTTATTTAGCTTCCTCCCACATAGGTCAGTTATCCTAGTAACTGTAAATTGAGCATATGAACTACACTAGAGATTGTTTTCATCTCACAAGAGGCAAAACACAACAGGTGTCCAAATATGAGCATCGGAAGGTAAGCACATGCATACCTCAGCTTTGAGGAATCCTGCAAGTAACTTTTTTGCTCTGTATTATGGGTGTCTGCTGTGCAGAAAGGTTGGGGTTTTTTTTCCTTCCCATTTTGCAGCTGGATTTCTTCAGTGTTAGGTCAATTCATTAACAGTTTCAAGACCAAATACCATTGATTTAGGGGAAAAGTTGGAGTAATGCTGTGGGTTTCCATAGAACTTCTTGCTGTCTGGCAGCTGAGTTGTTCAGGAAGCTGTGAGCAAGCTAGGGGAAAGCAAAGCTTGTCTGTCATCTGTTAGAACTGGTAGATTCAGTGGCAAGTGCTTGTGTTTTCAAGCCATTGTCTGGTCTTAGATACAACTTCAGACACTTTCTGCTTTAGTGTGTTAGTAGTGATTTATTTGTGTCAATGGATTGCTAGTTCCTTAGTGAGCTAACATAAATAGGACGAAGTTGGTGGGAATCGTTTGATAGCTAATAGTACATGAAGTAGCTTTTAATGTAATTGCTATGTCTCTTCATGTAATTACTATCAGATTTCAATATGGCATTCTCTTTCATAGGACTTTATTAATATTGTGGTTGTCAAGCCCAGGGTGAATTTAGTATAGTGTATATGAGCTTCAATCCTGAAATTAATTCATGACTGTCAGCTTCCAGTAGTATGTTACCTTCCAAACTGTACCACCAAGAATTACTAGCTTGGGAGTTGGAAGTGCTGACTGTCTCCTTCCTTCTCCTTTTTCAGTCTCACTGCTGGCTTGTTTTTCAATGGCTTCTCGATGAACTTGTGGTTCTAGTGGCACAGGACAACATTCTGGCATTATTGTATAAAACACAAAACTCAGTATCTGGCCCAATAAAGTATGCATTCTTCTTCAGATTTTGAGTGCTTTCTCAACATGAAGGTAGTAGTATAATGTATTTGCAAACATCTATTCAAAGGTAAGAGTCTTATTACCCATTGAAGACTTATTTTATAAACAAATCCTTCTTATGCATGTTTGAGAATATTATTTTCATGCCCTTGTCTCAAAAGCAAAGAAACTGTTATTGTCTTGTGTAGTGTTGGCTGCAGTATGGCTCTTGGGTAACTCAAATACAGCTTCTGAGCCAGGGTTACACAAGGCCAGCAGTTGTGCTTATGCTGATTTGTGAACTCCTGGGTAGCCTGAAACCATAGCTGCAAAGGGAAGCAGGACACCAGGGCTGCTGTAAAAGAAATCTCCAGGTCGCTCTGGGAGTACAGCTGCTTTTCCCGCCCTGTTCTGCAGTTACAATGGGACTCTTGGCAAGCTGTTGTATTCATAGGGTGGGGACATGATAATCTCTTTTGCTGTCCAAGATGAGACGTGTTTTATGGCTCCAAGCTGCAGAAGTGCCTGACTATATAGCACCCAAAGTAGGGAAAGGCTGGCCAAGCCTGCAACAATTACAGTAATCCAGATACTGCTTGTTCAGTGCAGCTAGATAATTGAAATTTTATCCTGTTTCTGAATGTTAAGTAAATGTGAGATCTTAACCCAAAGAACCAGCTTGATGTCATTTTCCTATGCTTAATCTAATTCAGTGAAAATAGGTCCTTTACTCCCTGTCCCTGCTTTACTGGTCCTTAGCTGTGTAAACCAGCTTGAAGGGCATTCCCAAATTCAAAGTTGGGACTGAGCTGCCCTAAATAAACCTCATGAAAGGAGCTTAAGCCTGTGAATGAAAAGATAACTCTGTGATTATATAGTGAGATTAGAGTACTTCAAACTGAGGTATTAGAGGCCTTGTGTGAGAATGTCTGAGGTTTTGGTGTGGGGTTTTTTTTTTTAGCGATAGCAAAAACTAACTTGTGTTGACACCTACTTGGATAAACTTCTTGGAGCCATACTCTTAGGCTGAGGAGGTATGTTAGGTGCTAAAGACCAGACCTGCTGAAATATTCTCTAAATCCTGAAGTACTTCAGCTGTAAGGGATTAGGTATAAAGGATTAGGTGTCTTGATTTCAATTCACCCTCAGAGGTATGCACACTTCCCGCAAAGAGCGGTGAACAACATCCATTCTTTAGCTAACAGCTGGGTGAATCTGCATGAATTTGCCCTTCTAGGAGCAGTTACTAATGTTATGCCTTCTAAAATGTTGATCTTGTAGGGAAAAATGGAACGTAGTTCTGTTGGTCAAGCAGGATATTTGGCGTGGTCTCAATGGATAATGTGAATTTAATTGGAAGCTACTCATGTGAAAGAGCAAGGATTAATCTAAAGTTAAGGGGAAAATTCTTAAAAAAAAAAAATCCTCTTATTACTCAGTTCATCTGCTATCTCATTAAATTCTTGTATAGCCTGGGACCTCTGTTTTCCCATAGCTAGGGGTGCTGCCTGTATTCCATTCCTCCAATAAAAATGCAGGTTCTTAGCTCTGAAAACTTGGCTCTGATAAGAATGCACTTATTGATGGGCTTGCTTTTTCCTCGTGTCTCTTTAGGCAAAAACATATCTCCTGTTCATAGCAAAAGTTAAGTCATGATGTGTTGGGACTTCAGTTATGAAAATCTTGATCCTAACTTTATTATGAGAAAGGTAGTTTTGAAAACGTTTGCTGGAGTTGCAGACATACCATTTAAAACTTTTGCAGATCATTTTGCATTTGAGAGATTCACCATACCGTAAGAACAACTATTTCTAGAGTGTTACTAGAATCCTTCTATGGTGCTTGGTCTGTGAAAGTGTTTCCCCTTCTGACTTATCTGTTGAAGTGTTCTTCCCCTTCCATTTGAGGGATTTCAAGCTTATGCTAGTAACTTAAATGCCTTAATGAATTTCTTTTCTGGATTACTGGGTAAACCAATGTGCTTTTCCAACATGGAGAAGCTTTTTATTTTAAGACTTCGTTTCCTGATTTTTTTGCCTTAAACTAACAGTAGATAGAATTTTCAAAAAATGTTTAGGAAGCCAAGTCTTGGAAAGGAAACTATTTCACATACTGATTGTTCCTGGATTTCTTTTAGCTCCTCATTATGTCATATCAGCTGAATAATACTTTTAGTGCTTTCTAGTCCTAACCAGGTGCTATACTAAGCAGAATGAAATGTATAGGCTTTCATTCTTTGACCTGTCTTCTAGTTTCAACTAAAAACACTGATAAAAGGATAATTCTGATGCTTAACTGCTATCTCTTATTACAGGGGGAAGATTCTCTTTAGTGTGATTACTTACAAGTAATAGTTCATCATCATGGCTGAACTATCACCTGAAGAAATTCAGCTGAGGGCCAACCAGGTCACGGATGAGGTAAATGTTGTAGGAAGCCATCTGGGATTACAGTACTTATCTGCAAAGATTACAATGTCTTTTAAAAATAAAGACAGTCTAGGGTAGTGATTCAGCAAGGGTATAGCTGAATGTTTCAAACTCTCCCTTTACTTGGTAAATACTGGGGTGAAGACTACTCCTAAAAGTAAGAATTAATTTAAACTTCTGAATTGTAAAGCCACCTACTTGACTGAGGAGTGATCACCCAGTCCTGATTACTGAGACAGTGCAGGCTGGGTACCTACGCTATTCCTAATCATGTTGATACTTCATGACTTTTTTTAACTAAAATTCATTTGAATATATTTCTTTTATAATGACCTTCCAATGGGATAAGCAAAGTACTAAAAACAAAGGGTTTACTAGCTACTGAAAAAAACTCTAGTATGCTGCCACTATGACTGTGTTGTAGCATGTATTACATATAGACAGGTTGATGAACCTTTGTATATTAGTTGCCTTACTGCAATGAACCGGTAAATATTACTTTCAGACACTGATACATACTGTTAACACACTCACTTTAAAATTCTCTTTCTAGTCTTTGGAAAGCACAAGGAGGATTCTCAGCTTGGCTGTTGAGGTAAGGAAAAGCTTTTGAATTCCCTGGGGATTTATTAAAGTATAAGAAATAGCATGTTAACTATCACAAAGTGATCTTACTCACTTTTTTGTCTTTCTCAAACTTTTGAGACACATACTTCATTATTAGAAGTTGCTGCTTTAATTCGGTAGTAGAGTTGGAATGACTTAAACATAATGTGAAAAACATTATGTAAAGTCAGATCACAGAAGGATCAATATCCTTTTTACCGGTTTTCCTCTTAAAATGGCCTGATCTCCAAATGTTACAGATGAGTTATAAGAAGTCTTCTATGATGGTCAGTTATGTCTTTGGCTGCTGTTATCACTTGCTTCTCATATCATTCATTTGTCTTTTAGCTTGCTTGACCTGCGAACAGCATGAAAATGTCTTGCTTTGAGGAGGAGGGTAGGGCTCAGTTGGGTGGTGTAGTAGAGGGTAGGGCTGCTTTTGGTTCTAAACAAAAGTAGCTCTGCATGTACTTTCTTACAATCTGTTCATCAGCTTTAACTGTAAAGATAGTTAAATATGATGATGAAACTCTTTAACACCATTGTATATGACTTGAAACAAATAAATCTGTATTTCAGGTTTATCTAGGTGACATTGTGTGAGGAATCTGTTCCTCTATACTGTTACAGCTTGCATGCCCCAGTGTAAAAATGACTGAAAGTTTACTTTTGACACTGTAATTTCAAAAAATATAGGTCGTCCTGTTGGTAGGGAGTAAGATAACATGGCTGATAGTCAGCTCTGGTAGACTTAAAGCTTAACTGGTTCAGCAAGACAATTCTGCTAGTACTTGGATATGCCATAGACAAATGGGAATCCAGAGACTGAGCAGTAATGCCTTTCAAAGTTATTGCCCAGACTTTTAGTGCTGAAGACTTGAGACAATTTATTGTCAGTGTGAGAACACTAAAAAATAATCCAATTAATACGGACTCTAAAGTGTTTGATCATTACTGCTTTAGAGCCTGTACTCACTGTCCAGACAGTAGCAGGCTGCTGTGGAACTGAAGATGCTACTGTAACCAGTGAGGCATTTGAATTAGCATAGCCTAATGAGCATCTCTCAAACAAAAAACGTTAAGAACATCTAATAAGCTGACATAATTTCTCTTGGTATCGTAGTTTGGTGATTCATAGAACCTAAAATGACTCCTACCATAGACAGTTCTGTGCTGCCAGTTTACAGTAAAGCATGGGTGGAACTTCCATGGCTAGATTCAAGACTCTGAGCCAGCAAAGACTTGTACTGTGGTATATTCCTCACTGCTGATTTCTTTTGCTTGGCTCTAAAACTAGAGATGGGCTATTTTCTTCCTGATCTCTTCTGCTGAATTTGCAAAAATGATTTTGCAGGCTTTGTTTTGTTTTCTTTTATTCTGGCTTCCAGGACTAAAGGCCTTGTCAGCCCTGTTGAAGGGTGTAGGGATAAAGAGTGAACTAAATGCCACTCTTCAAAACAAAACACAGCTAGGTTTACTTTTTTAGCTTGACATTGTCATAGTTCAATCTGAGTATTACAATAAATTTTATCATCTTGTTGTAATGTATGAAAAAAAACCAAACTCGGAAAACCCCCCACCAATTCTGATAGTGTAACAGGTGAGATTATTATCAGCCTAACATAGGATCTAATTTGAAACTTCGCATAGCTTTGCTACAGAAATTATTCCTAGCACAGAGTTTTATTATGAACTTGGTTGGCTTATCAAATTTACTATAGAGATGGCCTGGTTTTGCACTGCTGTATTGAAATCTGGTTTTATATCTGCAAATACATTTCTTTCTGCAGTCCCAGGATGTCGGTACCAAAACTATCACCATGCTGGGTGAACAGGGAGGTGAGTTCTTCATTCTTCCTCTCTAACACTAAAAATCAATTTTATGACTGTAAGAAAAAGGATTATCATTCAAGAGTTGTTGCTGAAACTAAAGGCTTATTAAAGCCTACCTATGTGAAAATGAGATTTGCTAATTGGTTATTCCCATGTGTTTGTAGTATTTAAAAGAGGTTTTAAAGTAGTTGAGAGACCATGTTAGTTACAATGTAATACAACTCTACTACAGAAGCCTTTCCTTTCCACAATAGTATGAATGTAACTGTGATGCTCTAAGGATAGGGGAAAATATTTTCAATGTAGTAAACAAAACATCACTTAATATCTTTGTTAAAAATTAAAAAAAAAAAAAAAAAATCCCAGAAAGCAGGAAAGAAAAAAGGCATTAGTCTTGGTATAAAGATAGAACTGAAACTTGTAAGTTCCTGCTTGAAAGAAATGTTAATATGCCACCCCCACCTTCCCCAAATCTGTTTATTCAGGTTACTTGTTTCTCTTCCAGAACAACTAAATCGCATAGAAGAAGGCATGGACCAGATAAATAAGGATATGAGAGAAGCTGAGAAGACACTGACAGAGCTCAACAAATGTTGTGGGCTCTGTGTCTGTCCTTGTAACAGGTCAGTTAAATTGGTACTTGGGTGTGAAGTTCTAGAATATTCCCAATAGTTACTGTACTGGAAGATGGTATCTAATAAAAGAGCTAATTAAAAAATGCTGAATCTCTAGGGAACTTGACTGTTTTGGTTTGTAGAGGTGCACCCTTTTAATATTGCGTGAGAGTAGCTAAAGCTTACTTGCATCTAACCATATATTGTGCCCCTTTCACTGTAAATATAGCTGCTGTATAATGCACAATTGTGCCCTAATCTCCTTAAAGTTTATATTTAGTAGAACACTATCAATGTCCATACAGATAAGAACAAACTGGACTGCAAACAGCTATATGTAAGTGCCTGTCTGCTAGAAATTTAACTCCAAAAATATTTTTTTCACAGCTTTGTAGTAACTTAAAAGCAAGAAAACTTCTGTTTCAGAGAAGGAATGTAATATTGGTTCTCTAGGCATTTAAAAAAATGTTTGTGCTTTTGGGAGGAAGATAGTGGGAGAACAGACATTAGTGTTAAAGCTTTAATCTTTTGCTAGTGACTACATAAATGCTTGCAGACCTGCTTCACAGTATCTTTATAACATCAGTGTTCTGGCTCCCATATCCAAGTCAGTTAAGAGTAATCTGGTCTTTTGTATGGCACTTGATTTGTACTTCTAAACACCTAAACAGCCTAACAGAAATCAGTATTATAAGGAAAACAATACTTATTTTTTGGAGGTGTGCTAGCTTTATCTTTAAGCAGCAAAGTATCGAATTTATTTGTGTGAATTGGATGTGATCACAGTTCTTCCATGTAAAGCAGAAATAAGTTATTTTAAGAGTGTGAACACTGAAGTGAGTAGTGTGTCTGTTCTTTTTTTAGCTCTTTAACATGAGCAAAAGCGACCTTATTCAACTGAGAGGTAGCAGAAATTTAGGTAAAAATTCCTTGGAGTAGCTGAGTCTGCTTATCCACCAGAATAATACTTTGAGGATCATTTAGGATAGGTATGAATGTGGCTTCTGAGGCTGAAAGTCTTGGAGCTTTAGTACCTTGAAAAGGCAGATAGTTTTTTCCTGAACTCTGGATAGGTGCGCTTACTGCTTTGTATTAGTTTTACCAAGCTGATGGACTTTGAGCATTTTGACACACTCAATCTTTGTTTTCTGTAGCTGACGGTCTTATTTCACCAAAGCTAAGCAGCTTATTAACACTAAGTAAGCTTAGAATTTATGAACTCTTGTGGCACTCCAACTATACAGATAATAATAAAAGAAATGGAGTTGTGTACCAAAAAGGGCAGTAATGTGCAGAAAAATCTACTAGCTAAGTAGAGAGCAATGAAGAAGGAACCGTGAATGCCTTTCATATATCAACCGGTACATCAGTTTTTGTCAATGTCAGAGTTATTTGTCAACCAGTTATCTCCAAAGCTTTTCATTTTTTTCATAAAGCTACATCACAACGCTTGCTGAATTAAATATTGCTTTTCTCATTTCTCCTAGGCTTAGATTGTTTATAAAAGCTTTTATAAGAAAACACAAAATACTGGCAGTACACTAATATAATCTATGTACTAATAACAATTTACCTATTTGCTGGTCTTTACTATTCTTTCTTCTCTATTCTCTCCTAACACTGATGCTTGCTTTCTAAAAATGAAGACTAGGATAAGAAGCTGTATTCACTTAACTGGTGAAAGCGGATTTTAGGACAAGGTCAGTCATCTTAGTGCAGATGTACCTTTAACCAGCTGTCTGCAGTGATGCTTCTATTGGATTTGTGCTTGCACCTGCATGATGCCTGCATGCAGCTTGCCTTGTGACTTTGATGTATTGTAATACTGATGTGAATAGAAAATGTTAATTACTATTAGCTGTGGAAATGTTGAACTGCTTGAGCCCTTGCTGGTTTGACAGGTTGTATAAATTGCCTTACTCTTACATAAATGAAGCATAAGAAAAGTGAATGTGTAGTAATTTGAAAAACAGCTCTTAAAAAAAATCAGGTGGTGAGATGCTTTGTTCTTAACTGTGCTTAGTTTGAGCAACAAATCTGTTTCTAGTTGTCTACTTCAGATGTGCAAGTAGTTTTCAGGCCACTTGTTTTTGTTCAATAAATTCCTTAGTTACCTTTGGCACCTAAGACTTTGCTAATCCAAAAGCCAAGCATATAAAGCTCTCCTGCTGTTGTGGCTTTATATCTTAATCTCATTCATACTAATGCTCAATCTAGTTGCAGTAAACTTAGGGATCTTTAAGCCTGTGTATGCACAAGGAGCTAGAATTGACTAGTTTAGGTTTCTTCAGGGTTGTCCTGGGTGCAACAGTTCCATTATGAACTGAGAAAGTATTCTACTTCTTCCCCTTGATGTATTCATACTAGATTACTTTTCATAGGATCTGACCTATGAAATACAATTTCCCTTTTCGATTACATAAATGCCAGAATGAGGGGAATACTTCTTCATTACAGCTAATTTCACACCTCTTCAGATGTGAAACATCTGGGCTACTAAAAGGCACTACAGATATAGGAATTGATTACCTCTAACTGTAAAGTTAGATGTACTGAAACACACTACAGATTTCCTTTCACAGGCTTTTAAAGAAGCAGAAAAGTGGCAGTGGAGTCTGGATTATCTAGCTTAAACCTGAAAATGCCAGCAAACAAGGTGAACATGAGAATGTTATTCTCAAAATATGTTCTTTAGGGTTCATGAGAACTGACCCCAATTTAGATCAGCTATTTTTCCTGTTATGTTTTCTTCCCCTCTTGCTTCTGTGGGTCTGGGATTCTTGCTTCATGTCAGCATGCTTTCTTTAATTTTTTTTTTTTCTCTTCTGAATGGTGTGGTAAAAGTGTAATGGTAAGTTGGTTTGTCACTTTAACAGAGTTAGTATAATGGAATTGCAGAATGAAGGAGCTATTTAAACATGATCGCTGTTATTTCATAATCAAAATTAACCTGAGAAACATTAACTTTAAAGAGAAAGACTTGGCAGCAGAAAATGTTTGACAAAACCCAGTAATGATTCTCTTGCATAGTGTAGCTATTTGTATTTGAGGGAGTTTTTTTCCTTCATCCCCATTTCTTCCCTGAAAAGTAACTAATCCTGACTCTAGACTAAGTCCTGTTGTAAATGCAGCTTTATCTTATGACAGTGTAAGCTTTCCTGTCACTGTCATAAGATTCCCCTCTTCTGGTAAGGTATATTACTTTAAGGAAATGACTGTGCTTGTATTAAAGGTTAAGACCAAATTAATCACTGTCCCTAGAGTAACTCAGTTATGTTTGTACTATCCGGACACAAGAAATTGTATTGTATGAACAAGGCTTTGTCTATACAAAGTGTAATCTCTTTTAGGCACAAGACAATTGTTTCTGAAAATCCTAGATTAATACAGAACTTCAGTCAGGAAGCCGTATTTCTGACATAGCAGTTCAGATTTTTTATTTTTACGGATTAGGACGAAGAACTTTGAGGCTAGCAAGACTTACAGAGCAACCTGGGGAGATGGAACGGAGAACTCGGCAGATCATGTAATATCCATGCAACCAAGAAGTATAAATCAGCAGCAGCCTCAGACTTCTGGAGGACCAAGTGGCGGATATATTACAAGGTGTGCTTCTTCATATTTCTCAATCTCAGAAGCAGAAATCCTAAATTACCTTGTGTCAGCTACTTTCAGATGCATTTTAAGTGAAGTTGTTAAATAGTAAGTTTTTTACCACTGCTTGGAGGAATTGTTACTGCTTGGAGAGGAGATGGCAGACACCTACACTTTCAGTATTGTAGTGCTCATCTTACACTTTTTTTTTTTCTGGTGGTTGTATTATCACTCTGTTTCTGAATGTGAGGATTATAGAGTTTAGTGCTCAGTTATTGGGAGGACTTAAAATTATCAAGGACTTCTATTGTCATAAAGTATATTTGAGACAAACCCATGTCTTAAACTTCCTCTGGTAGCTGTTAATTTAAATTTTAAGGCTATTTTTGTAATAGTGGTTAGCTTAGCACCTTTTTTGGTGGGCTGCTTGCTTGGAATACATGGGGTTTTAAAAGGGGAAAAACATACCTTGGCTTGAATACATTGCTTGTCAGATAACTGTGCAACAAACAATTTCTATTAAAGTAAATTTAGGGTAGGGAAAAGCAAGTTCTTGATTCTTGGAAACCTTGTCTTAATTATTTGAGCAGGATAACAAATGATGCCAGAGAAGATGAAATGGATGAAAATCTTGCTCAAGTGGGAAACATTCTTGGGAATTTGAAAAACATGGCTTTAGATATGGGCAATGAGATTGATGCCCAGAATAAACAAATAGACCGGATAAATGTAAAGGTAAGTGTCAAAGGTGTGCTCTGCCTTCAGCTTAGAGGTTGTTAACTGAGAAATTCTAAGGAATGGGCTCACTGTCCTATCTGCCTGTATTTGCAGTAAATATGTATTAAGATTATACCATCCTCTAGGCTGCAGTGTTTTGAACAAGAGCTATATTTTGGTATCTGGGTACGTAGCTGAAAATTCAAATGCTTCAGAGTGTCAGGAAACCTAAAAATATAGCACATGTCACTGCTTACTCTGAAAACAACTAAACTTGATTGGACCAAAAGGGCAAACATTTACTGGAGGTATAACTGGGGGATTGTTGCTTGCAGGGAATCTTGTACATGGTAGGGAATAGGTATTTCTAACAATAGCAAGATTCTTCTGGAATTCTTAAAAAGTCACTATAATTGAGTGTAAAATAAAACACAGGTAACTTATTACCCTCATTCTCACGGACAGTTAATACTGGGGCTGTGGAGACTTTGGAATATTGGGTTTTATAAGTGCACAGGGGCATGGTCTGCCCTTATGTGGACATGAAGCTAGTCACAGCCAGTAACATCTTTTTTTATTTTTTTTTATTTTATTGCTTTAAAGATTAACTTCCAAAAACAGAGGAATTGTATATATAAACATGTTTTGGGGGGTTTTCTTTCAGAGGGCAACTTATGAGGAAGTTAGCTTTATTTTAGAAATTCCCATATTTTGAAATGAATAGAAGTTCTTTTACAGGCATCCTGGTTAAGAAAGGAAATGAGACTTTTAATGAATAGTGTATATTAAAGATATAAAAAAAGCAGAAGTGAACACCAATTGCTGTAAAATTACAGAAATAAGACAAAATGGGAAGTCAAAGATCTCATGAAATGCCCAGTAGGGTTAAAAGCAAGGGGAAAGGAATGTTCTCAAACATACAGAGCTAGTCTGACCTAAATGCTGGTTGTACATATGTCAGCATCTCAATTTTGTCTAGTAATTTAGGGGTTGTGGTATTAATAAGGCTAATCAACGTGATCTTATAGAGGATGCCTTAATTGTCTTTCACTGTTCCCTGAAACTGCAGATCTGAGGTGATTATCAAGTAAAAGCGGTCAAACATTTTAAAGAACACTAGAAAATTTAATTGGAGTTTAAAATTAGATGTGAAGTTCTTACAGCTTATAAAGTGGATGGAAAACTGCCTGGTCGATTTAACTGCAAGTGGGAATTACTAGTTTTAGCAGTAGTGTTTCTGGTAGTTTCAAGCACCTGTTTTGGCCTGATGGTCTTTCATTTTAGTGGTCTGAATAAATCTTGGTGATCAAGTCTTACTATTAGAATATGATGTAAACGCGTTAGGATTGCTTTACAAAACAGCAATAAAAATGAAAGTGCAATTCCTGGCTTTGAGACTGGCAACCTGTCTCAGGATATTTAAATTAATCCTTTTCTGCTGATAACTGTTTTTAAATCTAGTTAACAGTGTGGAAACCAAATCAAAACATTGAGGGTAAATCTCCAAAGGACAGTATCATATAAAGAAACTAAGAGCATTATTAAGCTTAACTTCAGAATAAGGTTGATGCTTTTATTTTTATTTTTTAAAAAATGAAATATTCCAACTCACCTGGGAAACATAGAGGCTTGACTGGGTGACTTTTGGTAGCCTGCAGTGTTATGCAGGACTCCTAGTCTGAATAAACCCCTAATAAAAGCTTACGTTACTGACTTTTTAAGAAAAAGACCTAGTAGTTAGACCAATGTGTTTACAAAGTGGTGTTAACAGGTTAGATTCTCTGTTTTCTGTGGTAGATTCCTGCCCTTCCCCAACCCTTGACCCAAAGGGCAGGAAGGAAAGAACAGGAGGGAAGGGCTTGAACTGCTGATGTCCTCTTCCTAGGCCATTGCAGTATGAAGGTGTGAAATGGCAGATACTTGGCACAGGCTGAGCTTCTCGGGAGTTCCATTCCTCGTGGTGAGGGCAGAGGCTAGTTTTGTGCTTATTACCCCTCCTGCTCATTCCCATTGTAGGCTGGATAATTGGGGAATTATTTCGAAGCTTCTTATCGTATCTTCACTAAAACCGTCTTTTGACATTTGTTCAGCCTAAATGCTGTGGCTGACTTTTGATGCTTTATAATAGTAAACCAATTATAAAATAAAGTGGTTTTCTTACAGATACCATACTATGACACTAGGACACTGGAGGGTGTGTGGATGAAAGCCGGGGCTTTGCACTAAGCAAAATAATTCTGACTTTATGCCCATAAGTCACTTCCAGTTTTGACTATTACTTCTAGTCCATAGCCACAAAGCTGCCTGTAGAGGTCCTTAAGATGTCTAAACACTTGGAGAGAGGGAATTTTTATCCCCTTGTTCTGTTAATAGTCTTCCTGACTTGCTGAGGCAAGCTGCTGTATGTTGTGAGGGTCAGCTAAAGACTAAAAACTATTTCTCCTGATTAAGTTCCTGCCAAAATTGACAGCATATGCTGGCTAAAAATACTTCCAGCTTCCAAGCTGCTTTTCTTCTATCTACCATAACGCTAATATCCTGCAATTCAGAAGTTCATGTCCATTTGAATTTTTAAATTGTTTTGCATGAAGTCTGCAAATGACCTATTAATTTCTCTCTTTCAGGCCGATACAAACAGGGAACGCATTGAGCAAGCCAACATCAGAGCCAAGAAACTAATTGACAATTAAAGCCTGCTGTCATTCAATGACACTGTCTCTCCAGCTGCAAGCCACCATATTCATGAATCTGTGAAAATTCTCCTATTCTCAAATAAGAGGGTCTGGGAAAAACGAAGCAGTACTCTTTCTATAGGCATTAACTTTCTTTTATTTTTTTTATTGTTTCATGTACACATGGCCTTGACTCCAAGAAAGCAGCCAACATAACTTCTTCCTACTCATCTGCCTTCACTTTCTTTAAACTGCTCAGGGCTAAAAGTGTTATGGCTTTGAGAATATTCTTGCATGTTTTATTCCCCATCCCAGTCTTTTTTTCTTTTTTTTTCTTTTTTTTCTTTTTTTTTTTTTTGCCCTGCACCCAAAATACAGTCCTTTATTGAAATTGAACAAGCAGGGTAACCTGAAGTCACAGTTGTGGAAAGTTGGAGAGGGCACTTTGCACTGTTTGAAATACCTCATAAATTGAGTGTGTTCACTAAAATAGGGACTTGGTGAATATTGTCTGACTTGTATCTCTAGCAGGCTAACCATAGTTTTACAATCCAAACCACATGATTTGTTTGGGATTGAGTTTGTGGATTACGGAATTGAAGAGGCCCACTGCTTACTACTTGTGGGTTGAGGGCTTTAAAACACTTCCTAACCACATCAACTTTAATGTAAAGGTAACTAGAGGGATATACAGGTTTCCATTTCTTTACTGTAAATTGACATAGGTTTGGAGGCCATGACTAGGAAATCATGCTGCATTGTTCTGATAATACTTGTTTTGTGTATATATACCTGATCTGAACCCCATGCCCATGTGAGCAGAAGAAAATAAAACTGTCTTCCTAAAGTATTTATTTGATGGAAAATTTTATGCCCCTCATCTAAAAGTTAACTTTTAAGAGTTTGAATTATGTATCTTAACTGGAAGAAAAAACCATGCAGCTTTTTCACATCCAGATTCAGATTCAGTTTTGGCTAGTTTTCACTGGAGTTCATTTTATGCCTTTCTCCAGTGCAAAATAATGACTGAGATCTGGTGCGGTTTGCTCTCAGCAGTGACTTTGGGGGAGCTTCTTAAACCTATTGGAAACAGAGAAGCTTATTGTGAACCTTCTTTGTCACAGTCTGGAGGAAGCACTACCTATTCAAGAACTGTATGCTAGTTCTAAATAAACTAGTTCTAAATAGATTCCTGACTGGTTTATTATTGCAGACTTTGGGACTGGCAATTGGAAATTCTACATGCTCACATTGCTTGTAACTAAAATGTTCCTGTTCTGTTGCAGAATAGAGGAGTTTCTGACCAGGTGAGGTAAGAAGAAAACCAGTTTGGTTTTACTGTAATAAAATCAGATTTATCTCAGGATTTTCTTGAAATTTTTTTCAGCAAGTAAATTGCAAGTGACCTGTATAATTTTAACTCCACACAGCAATGTATTACACCTGTTTTAAAGGTGAAAATGGTGCTTTGGAATAACCTGTGATACTCAAGGTTGGATGGTAAAAATCTTCAAACCAAATTGATTGGAGGAATAATTAGAACTAATAGCATTATGGGGTGGTTGGTTTTGGAAGGATGGTCCACAAGTATCTTGTAGCCATTAATAATGAATCCCAGGGCTAGAGAGATGACACTTATCTGCTGAAATGCAAGGCAAACAGTGTTAAGTGTTTTGTTTTCTTTTTAGTAGAAATACAATCAGTATTACTGGTGTATTCTCAGTTCACTCCCAGGACAACTAGATATTTAAAGGGAAAAAAAAAACCACCCCAAAATAACCCCCAACACAACAAAAAACTGACCAAAGGATGGAGCTGCTGCGTGTAGTAAATAGGGCAGTGGCAGACTGCCTTATGTGAATAAGGTAATGTCATTTTTAGGGGACTGGATACTTCAGTAGTGTGTGTTGGCTTCTGTCTGGCTGTAGTTGTTGGAAAGGTAATTAATTTTAAAAGTTCATTATCTACCCCATTAGTAAATTAAGATTATGTGCTTAAAAACACAAGTAGCAAAGAGTACTTTTAAGAACATTGCCTAGTAGATTTCTAACAAGCATTTGAATGGGAAAGCATATGGGAGTTGTATACTTTTTTTTTTCCTTCTTACAAACTTCAGGTTAACTGAAGGAATATTTGCTGCTGGTTGTGAAAGCAAAGTATACATTATTTAATAATGATTGTCTCCTGGACCAGAAGACTAAAGGGGTTACCTTATTTTGCTTACAACAGTGCAAACCTGCTCTGTAGCATTTGGACATTCCAAACATTGGAATGTTTTTCTCCCTTGCCATTACAAGTCCATGTTCTTGACTTCCCTGAGCTCTAACAACAAATCAGCATGTTGGCTGAGAGAATGCTGTGGTTGTTGTATCAGAATCGTAATATTGCAATAAATACCATACGAGGAAATTAATTTTTAAGACTCTAAGCTTGAGTACTAGTGGAATATCAATACTATTTTCTGATGCAGCAAGAGCCAAATCCATCAGGGAGTTGGTGCCATTATGTTAGTGAAAAACACAGTCTGCTTCTTGGATTGTCTTACTGTTGTCTGTAGAATAGATGTTTAATTTCCATATCTATGGGATGGAATCAACACTTGTACGTCTTTGTATTTCTGAATGCTATTAAGAATGAAGGTTTACAGTTTCTGCTTTTGATTGTTAAAATTATATATTGTGCACAAAAAATACATACTTTTATAACTGAATCTGTTAAAACTATTTTCACTTAGAAATTTGTTTAGTTTCCTGTCCTTGAAAAACTTGGCAGAACTAGCTGCTACTATGCAACTAGGAAGTTTCCCTTCTATTTTTATCTCACAGAAATCCTAATGCTAACAAAGGAATGGGTGTGGTTGGGAAGACGGGAATACTGTGATCTTTTTTTAACACTCAAGTTTTCATCCTTGCATAATCAACATCACCTAACTTCAACCTATGAAATGTGTCCATCTCTTCTTTGAAAGACTGCAATGTTGACATGGGAACTACACTTCAGGATGGCAAAGGAACTAAATGAAAAGAAAAAAAAAAAAAAACCAAACAACCAAAACCTTTCCAGTCAAGTATTGGTAACAGATGCCTAGCAAATACTTAGTCCAGTAGGGGAAATCTAGTATTTTACCCTACTGCCAATGCAATTCACTTGAGGCAATTTAAATTGTATTTTCTCTGATAGTACAGCCTGAGATTCCCAGAATGCTTGGGGGGAAGACAGACTTGTGTTGACTTGCAGTGGTTTTGAGCTGTAAGAGAGAATAGTGTATCTGGGAGTGGCTTGGAAGAAGTACTTCTCATATAGTATATTTCTACCAGTAACTAGGAAAAAAAAAATTAGGGACAGCCCACATATGTAACTATTCTGAGCATGCAGCATGTGTCCCATGGATACACTTAAATGATGGTAATTGGTAAATGCAAGCTAGCCTACTCCTTGATGAAAGATGAGTTAAACCTCTTAACACAGGGGTAGCTATAGTATGAACTGCAGCACATGCTGCTTGTGCAGCGACTTGCAGAAGTTTCCTCTGTGAAGGCTCTGTGGTGAAACAATTTGCTGTTTACACAATGCAGTGACTTGCAGTTCCTAATTCATCTTTGCTGCACTTGAAACAGCAATGCACTATCTAAATGTTGATTGAATAGATGGATGAAAAGTGTATCTTACTGCAATGGAAAATTGAGAGCAAGTGATACAGATCTGAAAAAAAAAATACATGAATGGTTTATGTTGTTAACTAGGGTAACATTTTCTACCTCAATAATTCCAAAACTAAAAAGCTGCAAGTGTAATTGTGCATGGAAATAAAATTGTTTTATAGTGTCACTTGTAGAGGGGGTGTGGTGAGAAGGGAAAACTGAAACTCCCACTGTAAAACTCTGAACAGATTACATACAGTGCTGAAATGTACAGAACAGTGTTCTACTAAGTGACTTAGTCACAGTTATTTATTGCTGTGAGCTAAAACATGTGAGGACATCAGCCAGTGTGTGTGTCTGTTTGTTTGTTTGTTTTTTTAATTGAAACAGGAATAGTCTTCTGGAACACATTTGGTTAATCCAGGACTAACTTGGCACCATTCAGTATTTTGTATGGTGTTGTCCCCCTTTAAAAAAAATTTTTGATAGCTGTTATAACTCCAAGGTAGCAAAGGAGCCTAACAATGAGTAATTGAGAGGTTTCTAAGTGTACTAGTGATCACATAAGAGAAATGTTGACTTACTACTTTTGGAAGTATTTGAGAAAGTTAAGATTATTTTTTTTTTATAGCAATGTTAACTGCATCATTTTTAAATGTTCTGATCTACCCTTTCTTCTTACGCATCTTTGAATAGACAAAAGAATCCTGATAAACAAATGTTTAAATGAGAGAAGCAGCATGTCTGAGCACAGGTATTTCCACTTAAAAAAAACCAACAAAAAAAAAAAAAAAAAAAAAAAAAAAAAAACCACCATAACACAATATTGCCAAGTATGTACATATTGATGATAGACCACTCCTTTCTAGTTGTCAGAGTTGGTGAGTTCAAAGGGGGGAATCTGCTAACTGTAGGGGTTTGTTGTGTGGATGTCTCATGCATGGCAAATCTAGAGGAAAAAAAAGCTAATACTTCAAATGGGATTTAGGTATTGGGTGGAAGGAGCTAAAATTTAAAACAAGCCTGGTGCTTTAAACTATTCACTGCTGGATTTGCCTGTCATAATCTGTGGAGTCTATTACTATGAAGCTGCATAGATTTCTGACTATACAGGGCCTTGCATTATGGTAACATGCAGGTTGTGTTCTTAAAGCACTTCCCTAGTTATGTCTTGCAAAACGAAGTAGCCTTGTAAACATTGTCTGCTGTCAGCCACTTAGAGGAAGCTAGTAGTTTTTCTGTGAAGTAACACCTGGAATGGGGGTTCTTAAGTAAAACTGGTTCCCTGTTTAATGATGCATCACATCCATTCTTTGAATAAGGAGCTGATGTTCCCTAAAACACTCTTATAATAGGTATTACTATGCAAGAATTGAAGAAAGACAGCAACAGGGTCAGAGAACTAGATACCTTGTCTGAGCATCTTATAAAAGAACCACTTATCACTAATCTTAATTATAGTTGTTACATTGAGGAAAAAGATTGGCACAGAGGTCACTTTATTTTTCTTAACTGCAGATGGCATGAGATGTTGAGGAGGTTTAATGATTACACCAGCAACTTTAAGGAGTTTGCTGTCCAAATGCCTTTCTTGTCTCATGCAGGAAAGCTTAAGTATGGAACAGTAGTTAATGTAAGACAGTCTCGTTAGGAATAGATGCATCTATGCTTATTTTGTGAAGAACTGTATTTAGTACAGCTCCTACTTCACTGCTTTGAGAGTGCAGTACCTATTAGCTGAATTGCTACTACAGTGTTGACATACTCAAATCCTCTGCATTCTCAAAGCAGTAGAAGTATAGCTGTTGCCAACAACTGATGGAACCAAGTGCTTGAGTGATGGCTTTCAGCAGTAGCTTAGTACTACTTGTTAAAGTGACAACAGCAGCAGTTACACCAAAATAAACTTGAACTGATTTTTTGAAAATTATTTACTAAAATAAAGAAGTACATTTTCCTTTTCAGTTTAAGTTACATAATTGCATACATTTTTAGTTCTTTCTAGGTGCTTTTGGTAATAAGGCAGCAGCAGTAGGCTGACGACTAAAACTTTCAGCATTGCTCTGTACACAAGGAATCAGTGCAAGGATATTATATTTTCCAGCAATATACATTTTTACTGAATACACTGAAGGTGAACCTCATTTTTATTTGATACAGCTCAAGCAGAAGTGGACTGTAGTGCAATTCTTGCTTATTGGAAAAGAAAGCCCGTACAGTAAAATGTAAATGAAGGATGCTCAAACCATGATTTGTTTACCAGAAGCAGTTAATAAAACACTTAACTTAGCCACAGCTATTTGTGCTTCATAAAAAACTTACACAGGTTATAAACTAAAACCTCATCTGTAAAAGTTCTTCTCTGTGGAATAGTGCTTACTGCAAGACATACAATGTTTCAAATCTGCTTTGGTGGTAGAACTTCCATGTGCTATCATGGAAAAATGTTTCCAGAAGAAATAATCCTCTAAAAATCAATAGCCAGCTTCCTGACAAAAGGCAGCTGGCAACTTTGAAATGCTCATTCCCTTTCTCTGTGAAAGAACAA